GTATGTGATACTTGTATTATGAATACCGAGCTAGTATACAAGTCTATAATTTGTATTTTCCCCATCGACAGCTGGATAGAACGGAACTCCATAATTCGGCCGGGCAGAGAGGTGTGCGAAAACACTCCGTTTTATTTTCCCTACTCGTCCTTGGAGCAACACTGTTGGTTTATTTAGAGGCTCGAAAACTCGATCTGCTGGATTTACGGATCACGTGACGGTCGTGGATCATGTATGCATGGAAATATAAGAAATCGGGAAACGATTTCTCAGGGATTGTTTGCAAAGCATTATAAGGACACTTTTCCTCAGTGAATCGTTAAAAGCAATACAAAACGTGGCTATGTTAATTTGTTCTTCTCTTTTAGTTTAGCCAGACCGTTTTTGTTATTGGAAACTCAAGATTGTTGTGAATTTCCCCCACAGTTTCTTGCTTGAGATGAGATTTGAAAAAAATACATTTGTACCCACACTGATTACACTTTAGAACCGTTTAAAGATCTTGTATATACCCATCAAAACAAAACCACTGATAGATCAGTCTTTGTGTACCGTTAGATGAATGACCGGTTAATTGGGGCTACCTAATAAACGTTTAGAAATTCGTCACTTCTAAGGATTTGCACACGTTTACACGGTCGCTCGATTGCTTAAATCTTTTTAGCATGACGAGCAACGCAGTTCTTATGGTCAGTTTTGACTGCATGGTATAATTCAAAGACGATATCTCTGAAACCAAGCGACAGGTGTCAAAGACATTCCCCGGCATTTTATTCTGGTATGTTTGCAACGTGTGTACAAAATTATATCTCCATATTTCGTGTCTGCAAGAATAGTTGACACCCAACCAGAGACAATTCTGATAAGAGTAGTTGCTGACAGTCTAACTTGCAACTTAACTTAACAAGACCAGGTTCACATACAGTTGGATGGAATATTTAAAGTCCTCTGGAAATCTACCACCCATAATCATCTAGCTTCAAAGACCAAGTGACAATTTAAGTTTGGTATATTTTCTTCATGAAAGTTGAGGAGCTGTGAATTAATCTCCACAAAATGTTTGGTCGAACTTTGTATGAACCAGTAACGAAAAAGACAACATAACGGGAACCTAATACGTACCTTTTCGTAGCATGTACCCACATTTTACATACCCATCACGCCCACACTATGTGCTAAATTTGCAGTGGATCGATCGGCCTCGTTCAGCTGTAGCACCCTTCCGGTGCCTAGCTGCCATGCTACCCGAAGGAAGCACGAGGGCTGCGATATTGCCAGGTTGTCCAAGCCTAGACAGGGGAAGTCGAGAGGCGGAAATCGGATTCGATCCACGAACCTTCCGGTTAGTAAATTCGCGCTCCAACCACTTGGGCCATCTCGCCATCTCGATCGACCTCAGTTATTCTCAGCTAATTTAGTGGTAGATGTTCGTATTGCGGAAGCACGAACTCCTGTGGCGCAGGAGGGTCACGACAGACTCATGTGTTCATCAAGCAATCTGTGGCAAACAAGTGTAGAACCAGCTGTGGCAAACGTCGCGGCATAGTTCGAAGTTTGTCCCGATGACTCGCATTATCTTACATTGACTGAATGCGGAACTCCGGCTTTGTAGCCTCCATGGCATGAGGTTGCTGTGGCAAGGCGATTATTGTTGAATTCTAGCTAACATGAGATTGGGGTTAGAGCATTACAGTCAACCGAAACCAAATCAAGACTTGGGAAGATCGATTTACCGTAAAATGTTGTCTTATGGTTAATGCTAGAAAATCTGCCTCAAAAGTGCGGTTTTATGACACTTGCGAAATGACTTTGTCTGCGACTAAAGAGTAGTGTTCAGATGACCTGAATGCTTCTCCCGTATCATTTGGCATCTTGATCAACTAGGTGATCGATTTCGAGTTCGGCATTATTGCTGCATACGTAACGGTTATGGTTGGCTCTGGCATTATTGAAGTTGCTCAAGGTGCGTCTAAGCCACAACTATTAGCATGATTTTAATATCAACGTTGAATACATCATCGTTTTTCATTCTTAAAGTGTCAAGTCGCACCCAGTCATGGAAAAGTTCATGTGCAGAGAGTGACACGTCCCCAAAGTCACCATCGGTACGACACTTTCGGAAAACTGGTGAGTTGGCAGAGCTCACCAACCACGGCTTAGCAACATAAAACCAGTTGAGTGGGGCTGAAATTGTTCACGACCGGAACACCGTCATTGGCTGTACAGAACGAACAAGTGAACGACCTTCACGCCCGGAACACCACCATTAGCTCTACAGAACGAGCAAGTGAAGGACCATATTTACAATACAGCAATGTCCCGAGTTCTCTGACTTCTCCTTATCGCGTAGTCTGGCAGGCTCAGTGCAGGCCTAACGAATAGACGGCCACCCACGATTTAACGTAGGGCATGGATTGACCCACGCTTTGGGTTCGCCTTACAATTCTGTCGAAGGATACAAAAAAGTAGATAATTTTCATATTGCACCGTCAGTTTCGTGCTCAAATATTTCGCGATCAGATTGTATAAGCGTGTAACGGTGGATACTACTGATGAGGCATGCGAGTAGTGTCTTCTCGTAAATCCACTTTACGTCTCTTGAAAAGTGAGATCTTTTAAGGAATTGGTGGAGTCGGTTTGTAGCATTTGCTTGCGTTTGAGCGACAGTCAATGAATACCCAGGAATGTTCAAGAGGACGCGTTCAAGGAGAAGATGGATATTCAGTTTTGTAGACAAGATGCATTTGAGAGTTTTACTTCCCTGTCCAATAGTCTAATTGTTTAGGTGATGTTTCTCTAATAAAAAACTCCGCAGCAAAAGCGTTCTTTCTTTCAAGGGTAGTGCACTAGGTACGTGGTGTTTTGACAGCTGACTGTTTTGAAATAAATTAACTCACAACTTCATAATGCAAAGATCATCGCAACAAAGTAGGTTTCTTTTAAAATGCTGCTTAATTACACACGGTACAGTAGCTTTCCAAATGGGGGCAAAATCTGAAAAACCCAATGGTCATCTTGACATCATGCTTATTCCTGGGTGTTTCATTATATCTCAACTCTGTTCCATAACAGCTATGAAATTCGGGCGATAACCTGAGTATCTATATGCATTTCTTCTGCTCACGGAGATAAGCACAACGGAAAGTATTCCTTGTTCGACTTTCTGGTAATCTCAGCAAGCACAGCCTCGAAAGAGATCGTTCCTTGTGTCGCACTCTCGTTGTTGGCTTTGCGTGATCAGACCACGCATTCAATGTCTGCGATACTTTACTTCTTAATTGACCGCGGCCAGAAGTATCGCAAACAGGTATGCTACATTTCAAGCAAATGGACGATTGATTATCTTGAAGAGTAGCGCAACAAACCAGTTCCGTCCGACCAAAAGGCAAGCTAAAACGGCTAGTTCTCAGAGCCGAACTATTCCGAGGGCGTAAAAAGCTCAGCTGCAGAGTGGTCTGGTGACACCCTCGTCGGCATCCGCCGGGTTCCTGATGCGTTTAGCATTTAGCTATCCACTATCCTGTATTTGGCACTCCCGGAATTCAGGCTTCCCCTTGCTTATTTTCTTGGTTCAGGGTGACTCTAATTGCTTTGAGTGACTGTTTCTACAGTTCCCATTTGCTGATGTTATTTCAAAGAAATCGAATATCTTCGAAGGGTATCGGCATGCCCGTCAAATCGAAAACACCAAGGGTAACGGTGCTTGTTATTGACCAACAAAAGTGCATCGTAGATGCCTTCCTCAAAGAGTCGTTCGATTTTCTGGGCACAGGCCTTGCTAAGTGTGACGAACATTGTTCCAAGCAGTCAGAATCGGATGGTCATTGCCAGCAAGTTGAAGGCCCGCTCATCGTTCTCCTATCGACGTAGTTAGAAAATGCAGATCCAACATAGTATTCATATCGATATTCTTCTGTTTCTGTCACTTTTAAAATGTGGCGAAAACCGGTATATTGTAGTTGACTATGATAGGCTGTGAAAAGTGCCCTGAGTGCAGCGAAGTCTACTCTGTAGCATTTTAGTTCTTCGATAGACTTCCGGCGTTAAGGTCTAAGTACTGAAGGTTAATTGGTTCCATAAACAGGAAGAGAAATAAGTCTGCTTGAAGCGGATGCCCAGTAGACAGCGTCAAACGTTTGGATCTCTGAGTACTTCGACAATGCTGAGGATGCTGCAACAGACGGTAAACTAGGCCCGTGAGGTTTCAAAAAGTGTGGAAGATGGGAACAAAAACTTCCGTCTCTTCAAAGTGAGATGGTCTAGGTGCAAAAAATTACTGAAAAATATTCAGCTACGGTCGATTTTGCCTTATAATACTGCTTGTGACATTTGAAATGTGGATTTGAAAGTTAATGGGGAACATCATTTGTCAGTCTGAAGTCGACTGGCAGCGCTTATCCAAAAAGCAAAGATATTGCATTTGCATTTTTCAAAAAGCGCTTTCTCACTTTCATGATGCGACACTTTGGTAAGGGTTACAAACTAATAGAACGATGAGAAATGTCCATCACATAGGTTGTGTGTGACGATCCCCACCCCCCAAGGTGCATTAGGGAATTCACTTAAAGTTATTCATTCTGGTCTTTACACATCAAAACTCGTCACATGTTTACATTATTCAGTTCTTCACTGGCTCCAAACTGCACAGATTTGTTTACCGTTACGGCCTTTCGTCCACAAATTCCGAAGAGATTTATCACTTCCACTCCAGGTCGCAAAGGACAAACTCAGGGTTTCGAAAGCAGATTGGATTAACCGTTGTCCGGGAAAATATGTGAGCAGAAGCCTCAATTTCTGGACACACATCCATAAACAATGTGTACTTCTGGTTTGTTGCACTAAAGAAGATCGGAACCGTTTGAAATCCTCGCCGAAGAAGATTAGTCATTTGATTATGCAACAGGCGCTTGGCGCTGGAGTGAACGGCCGCCGAACCAGCGATTGTTTTTCTACCTTTAATTTTCTGCGCCCATCAGTTAGTTCAGTTACCTGCAAACAATTAGATTGTTTACCTGAACTTAAGGAGGCTGTGTGTCAGTTGACGCATATGACATTTTTGAAGCATCCGACTCCTTAAGGGAAATTTTAAATCCACTTCGCAATACGTAGTTGACAGAACCTAACCAGTGACGATCAGATCTATCAACACGGCGCAGGTTTTAGGGGTACACACTTTAGCTACATTCCGACAGTGGAGCAAACGTGAGCAAATTTAGTTATTTTTCCATTTCCCAGCCAGCCCGTGGTTAAGAGGCAATATGATTGATGGAATGACGTTAAATAATGAGCTAATGAGAAGCAGTGGGTTCCGTCTGTGGATCAACAACGTGCGCAAATTTAGCGTTTTCCGTCTCCCAGCCAGCCCGTGGCTGAGAGGGCAATATGGTTGATGGAATGACGTTAAACAATGAACTGGATCAGTGCAAATAAATGAAACGTGCTATAACGTTCAGTTGACGACCGGGGTGTCTCGTAACAATTTCCTTTGTTTTGCTTAACGGAAGTAAGTCTACCGATTTCGTCTTGGGCAATAGAGTCTGCACCATTAAAGGTTTGCGCATTGGGTCCTTCAGTAACCGAATATAGTTTATTGAGTATTCAAAAGGATACAGCGTTTCGACGAACCTGGCGAACCTAGATCTTTACATGAAGATGGCAAGCTTTTAAACAGAGAGAACAGCAACTGAAGTGAAACATTAAAAAAAAGTTCTGACGTGTGACATCTGTTTTGATTGCTCTGAAGTTGGTTCGCCTTTTGTGCATATCTCCTCTGGCCTTTAAATTGGCGAGGCATCTATCCAAGCCTGGTCACACGGGAACTCGGTTTAACTAAATGAAGCAGTAGGAAACTTAGCTAATTCTGAAACTGAAACGCCGATTGCGGACGAGGATATTGTATAAGCGATGGGCAGTGGCGGAAACGTTTCAAAAACCATTTTTCATGTTTCAATATAATCCGCTTGTTGATTAGCGTTTTGCAGTTCAGCTGATTCAGATTATTGCTGCCTGAGTTTGACAACGTGAAATACCGTTGTGCATAGATACGGAATCTGATAGAAAACACAGTGTAATCAAACTTGTTGAAAGGTTGAAGGAAACTCGGGGATTGTGCCTACCGGATGGCCCCCTAGAAGGACGAAATCGCTCGTGGGCTGTCGAAGAGATTTCAGCAATCTGATGGGTGATTTAATAAGAAAATAATATTCACATTCGTGCTCATGTCCTTGTAAAATGCCGCATGTTCAAAGTAGGCTGTTTGAAAAAACGCTACCAACCAAACTGTGCACTCTCCAAAGTCGATGAAAAACTAGTTTATTTAAATGCCCAGTTGTATTTAAAGGCATCCCAAAATACTCATTTTGATAAGAATGTCAAAGAATATTTTTAGTCCGTTTTTAAGCAAAACGTAGGTGCCAAAAGTAGGTGGTGATAAAAAAGAAAACAAAAGTCCTTCTTGTAGATGAAGCGAATAAAATATCCACCTGGGTTGAAGAAATGCTCATAGCTCCCTGGGTTCTCCGGCCCTGTCCTGCTCCAATTCATATTGACGAAAAACGGGGAAAAGCCATCTTCAATCGGCTACGGTCCCATATTCATCACGTGTGCTTTCGCTGGACCAAGGGCAACTTGACGCGCGTTTGTGCCAAACTGTAGAGTTGACATAGTCTCCGATACACTGTTTCTGTCGGTTGTAACGTTCACGATTAGGCATGTCTAAAACCGAGACCAAACAGTATGTTGTATCGCATCACCCTGAATAATTTCTATCCAAGCATAATACTTTACTTTCAGTGCCTTTGGGCTAAACATCCTCGGTAAAAAACACTAGAATCAGCAATGCTTTGGTTCCCTAGTAGAAGGTTCGTTACAATGGCACGGACTTCATAAAGAGTGGGTTAACACTGAGCCCCACTCAAACTTTTGTCTCATTTGTGTCGTTCTGAGCCCAGAAACAGAGCTCTGGACAGCTTTACCATGCATAATTTGTAGTAATGGCTCTGAACGAAGAAAATGTAGCATGCTAAAGAATTTAAAGCTTAAGAGGCTGAGTAGCTTTCGCGTAGGGTTGAGCATTATTATCCAAGTGTGTCTTAAGATGCTGGCGAAAATCACGGGAATAGTGAGTTAAAAAAAAACAGAGTATGCGGTGTAATGTCTCTCGCCCTAGTATACTACTGGTTCAGACATACTGGAATGAAGTATGCTCCTTCATCTTACTGGTGTACGACGCCAATTTCAAGTGCCATAGTGACCAGCAATGCCACGCTCGTACAATTACAAAAATTTCACCTTACCATAATAGGGTTAAGTAGTTGCCCAATCTCTGTAGCCATTTCGCCAGTGCTCGGATTAGCGCAGCAGTTGTGCATGATCAAAAGACGTTCAATAATACCGACAGAATCCTTGAAACAACTCTTACTTGGCTGCGCTATCAACGAACTGCTTACATTTAATAGGTTGTCGTTCCGGTTTTGAGGACGTTCCAAGGGGCTCTTATCTCGGACAATCTCTCACTAATCTTTTTGTGGTTGAACTTGGAGCAGGTCCCACGTATTGTTTCGGAGACCCCATGTGTCACCCTCACAAATAGACCGATAATAAGACTGCCGTCGTTAATGGGCAGAATGAAAGTGGCTTGAACCCAAAATGGTCCTCTATCGGATGTATTGTAGAAGAGTTGAATGATAATTATTCACTTCCTGAATGTCGAATCGACCATGTTTACTGATGAGTCTTTCAGATATAACGTTTACTGACAGCCAAGTGGGTTGCAAAATCGAATCGGTAGTAACAACTTTGTGTCCCTGAAACAAATGTCCTTCACAGTTTGTACGTTGAGGCAGTCGACTTCCACCTTGAACAAGAGGTCAAATTATTAAAAATACGCCAGGAGAAAATGACATCCAGAATTTCATTTTGATGAACGTGTACAACCTCCTGTCAAAGTCGAATGGTATCACAGCGGAAAAGTCCGTATACCTTTAACAACCGCAATATACACCAATTTTGTTATCTCTGTAGTCAATGAAACTGTCAACCGATTGCGTAACTCTATCCTTTACATCAGAAGGGCTTCTACCATAAAACTCAGCTGTCTTGACCGAAAATAAATTCACGATTAAAAAATTCCGCATCCACATTCACGAAACACTATTTGTTCGGCCTCGTCCGTATCGCAAGGTAATCTTAAGGTCTGGTGTTCAACCCCGTCTGGACGAATGTGCGATTGTTCTCTCGACTCTCTGTAATCAGGATTAACCCAGGTTTTCAGGTATTTTAAGCTATACAAGAGTAGTGCCTCCGGAGAGATTGTCCTATCCGTATGGCCATCTTATTCTGTGACAAAACAGCAATTTCAGAGAGCAGGGTGAATGCCAACGAACCTCTTCCAGAGTGGATATGTTTCAACTGACGGCATATAGGCCACTCTCCATTAACTTCACTTTTTGCGGAGAATGAATGCAATTTATATATTTACTGACATCTGTCGATACTGAAAAAATTTCTCTGGGTGGTACTGCTTGAATACCCATGCTGAAAAAAGTATACGCCACTACATCACTGTGCAAACTAGACTGTGATAGACGAGAGGTAAAAAATCACCATCGGCACAAAACTTCCCCTGTGAATAGAACACCCAGTGTGATTCGACTAAGATACCTCAGGACAAAAAGATATCCTCGCACTTCGGGTTAACTATCGATTCCCACCATCTAGTTTTGTTTCCTGTTAGCCTGTCTCGCCAGTTGCGTTTGAGTGCTTTTGACGGGGACCTCCTAGACTGATGCACTCGTGAATATAGAACTGCAAGGAGCTACTGATCTCGAAATTTAACTTCCGCACAAAACCCAAGGAAATTAATCACTCATGACCTAAGGTCACGTCCTTAGTTCAACACTAATTTCGTTCTGATTGGACAAGAAACTCACTTTTGA